GGGGATAGAAAATTCATCACTATAGAGATAGGGACCCAGTGACAAGCCACAGAGGGGAAGCCAGGGACAGAGATGCAGCTGAGGCCTTGGGGCTGGGCTGAGCATTAGGTGACAGAAGCCAGCAGCCACCTTCTCCCTCTCTCTTTCTAGTCACAGGCTGTGAGTTCTTCTCTTGGATCCTGGGATATCCCTCACCACGCCCATCCAGCTCCTCTGTAATATTCCTCCTCACCATTCAAGAGCCTCTCACCTCCTCCCCTGCTCCCTCATGGCTGCCCACTAACTACTGAAGCAAACACCCTTGAAAGGGTCCTCGGACTCTCGTGATCACAGAGCTGAGACACCCCTGTCAGTAACTTCCCATCATACTTAGAACCCAGCCCAAGTGTTTAGCTCTGAACTCCCACAGCAGCAACCTTCTGCGGACTGTGGACTCTTCCATGTACTACTCTCTGTCTAGACAACGTGCCAAGAGCCCCCAAAAGGACATTTGAACTGCAGGGCCTTTGGCCGTGCTATTCCCTTAGCCTGGGAGTGTTGGTTCTCAAGTGTTTGTTTGATTCCTTCTATTTGGAGATACTGTCCTATGTCCCTTCCTCAGTAGGACCTTTTGTGACAACCTTCAACAAAACAACCATCCTCTTTTGTTACCAGAATGTCCACCACATCTAAAATTATTGATTTCCGGTGGCCGTTGCCTATTCTATCCACTCCTGAAGGCAAGAACTTTGCTTATCCATGCCCTGCTGTGCACCCAGAATAATGTTTGGTGATGGATTTTGAACACCTGTGTCAGACATTATATTTCTCAAAAATGATTGAAAAGAATATATTATCAACCTATTACCCACTAACTAGAGTATGTCTAACATGGCTACGATTCTATTCAACTCATAGGCCAGGGAACAGCCTTGGAGATATTCAACAATCTGTTCAAGGCTAAGTGGCTGATGTTTCTAAGCCATGAACATCACCCCAGCCACCTGACTTGGCAGTCTGTGTTCCTACCATTGCTGTCTATTGTCTCCTTCCTGCTGATTAGCTACTGAATGGCTTATTATCACACTAAATTAGACTCAGCCTAGTCAATTACTCATTGATTCATTCTGTTCATGCAAGAACTACGTGTACTGAGGATATCATATGGCTCCCTCCCTGCAAGACTTGACTGTTAGCTCGGTCTACAAAGTCTGCCACGGTTATCAATTCTACTAAAGGTGGCTTGGATGAGTGGCAATGAGACAAGGCTGTACGGGGTTTTGGGCGTACAATAGAAGTGGGTGAGCTCTTCCAAGGAACAAGGCCAAGCTCTGGCCCTTCACAGGCTGTACAATCCCAGCTTGTCCATCCCAGTGAAGCAGGGCGGAGGCACAGTGTGCAATCACGTGACTTAGTCACGGGCTGGGGAGGGGTGATGAAGCTAAGGTCCTTTTGCATCACATCCTCACTCAATGCAGATGGAGGCTTTCAGTAACCATACTCAATGAGTAAACAAAACTTCCAGAAATTCTGGTTTATTATTCCACAAGCCACCTGCTTTTAGATTGCTCTACTTGTTACTAATTCTCAGTTATTGTTTTTAAAGACTATTTTCAATATCAGAAGTTGGTTTTGCTATCTGGTCATGTGATAGCTTTCTTTCTTTCTTTTTTTATTTTTGCTAATGATTTTGTAGAAAGTCATACCAACTGTCAATCAAATTCTAACGCTTTCACTCAGTGTGTTTGCATTGATCCTGTGCTCTCTCGATGGGGCAGTGGAAAGTTACTGAGGTCCAGTTGTCTATAGCCGCTCAGAGTTTTGATGTTTGAGAACTTGAGTCCGGAGCTGGATTTGCCTTCCTTTGCATGCAGAGCTGTACAGTCCTGTCCTACTCTGGGCTGTCAAGGTGGAGGAAGGTTCTGGAAAGCACATATTAGTCAGTCTGCTCATGATGCAGACATCAAAGTTGGCACTTGGAGAAACCTAGGTGGTATGACTGAAACCAGCGTTGCAGGATTCCCCAGACCTATGAGGCTGCTGCTGGCATAACACAGAAGTCTGTTGACAGTCAACTTGGTCTTCAAAGTTGAAAGATGACCCAGAAAATAGTTAGCCCACAACTTAGCAACAGAACTGTTTTATCCTTATAGAACATCATGGTTCAGGACACTTATTTGCTTACTTACTTATTTTCAAGACAGAGACTCACTATACCCTAGACTGTCCAGGAATTTACTATGTAGTCTAGACTGGAATCAAACTCATAGTGTCCTCCTGCCTCATACTCTCAAATGCTGAGATTACAAATGTGTGCCACTATACCTGACTTTATTTACACTTAATCTTTTTTGCATTTATTTGTGTGTGTGTGTGTGTGTGTGTGTGTGTGTGTGTGTGTGTGTGTAGGTCACATGCAGAGGTCAGAGGACAACTTTCAGGCACGGAGTCTCCCCTTTCACCTTCATGTGTGTTCTGGGGATTGAACTCGGGTTGTCAGGCTTGACAGCAAACACCATGCCCACTGAGCCATCTTACTGGCTGTGCTCTACTTCTGTATGATTGGCAGTTTGGTAGGCTTCTTTTTCTTAACAGAACCATCAGTAAACACACCGGAGGAATCCCCTGCAAGGCTGTAATGGTGACAAGATCATGAGCTGTAGGCAGAGTCCAGCTTTCCTGTAACCTTACAGGGCCACCATCGCATTCATGAACTATCCCCAAGAAAAACACGCTGGTGGGGTGCATGGCTGTAACTGGTCCCAGTGCACTTTGGTGAAGCAGGGACCATTATCCTCTATGTTTCACAGAAAGGGGGAAGTTCCAGAATAATGGCTGACTGGCCCCACATTGCACAATGGTGAGTGTGGTAAGGGTGAGTTTTGTGCCTTGGCATTTGCACGCCCACAGCCCTGGTCCCAAGTGCTGTGTTGGAAGCCCCCTGGAAGGCAGGGAGCTGGAAAGAGCTAGTCAGGAGGAGAGAAAAGGGACTCTTGGGAAATCTTTACGCCTTCTTGTCCGTTCTCACAAGTCCAGTTCAAACTCAATCCAGCAATGAGAAATGATCTTTCCCCAGGGTCTGATCCCCTAAATGCTTGGAGGATGAACTCGTCGCTTGTCTCACCACTAAATTATTCCAGGGCTCACAAGACACTTGCTGGCCTCTGGAACCCTACGTCACGACTGACAGGGGTCTGGCAGATGGCTCTAATGATATTACCAAATGGTTCTTCCCAGTTTTGGCAACAGGCAAGAGCATTTTCTACCAGACAGTCCCTCGGAGGTGAGGTGATTACCCAACTTTTAAAACTGCTTTTTGACCTCCGGCAAAAAAAAAAAAAAAAAAAAATTGGGCACATACGCTCGAAAGGGCTGCAGGGACCATGGGAGAACATCAAGTTGATTCATCAAATTATCTCAAGCATAATTGTCCTGCATGACTGGCCATTGAACTCATCAGCTATAAACCTGTCAAAAAGCTATTGGCTCTGATGTTAAATAGAGACCCACAGTCACATGGTCACACGTGACGGCAGTTGGCTTCAGCCTGCCAGGGATAGTTCCTTTGGCATGGAGGATTTGGTGGGAGGATGTATGGGACCCGGCAGGAATAGAGAAGCACACGGTGGCACGAGCGGCCACTTTGTGTGGATCGGGCACATGACCAGATCGTCCTCTCCAAGCGAGGAGGTTCTGTTTCTTTTCCCTTGTACCAGCCTTGCTTTTCATACTTTGTTTGACGTTCTGCTCTGGAGACCCAACTGGAAAGGAAGTCAGTGGATGCACCCTTTGGAAGTTTCACCTCTTTGGACTAATGCAAAGAAGTTCCCCTACCCAAACTTACTCACCGTGGTACAGCTCCTAAAGCAGAACACTGGAACTGTTGACGCAGACAAAGCAGAGTCGGACAACGCAAGTCCTTCTTGCTAATGTCGACGCTACAGAGCTCTCATGGCAGAGCTGAGGGTCAGTTCTTGTGACTTCTCTGTGCTACACTCAGTGTGGCTGTCCAGGGCACGGAGCGGGAGAGATGCTACAAGCCTTTCTCCAAAGAGTTCAAGTTCAGGGACTGCGCGGCCTCTCGGATCTGAAATTCTTCTACAGCCAACAGCCATCTCGCTTGTCTTCCTTGGGTGACTAGTTGTCTGGTTCCTAATTTTTTATGCCATTTGGGGGTAATTTCTCTCTCTCTTTCTCTTTTTTTTTTGTTATTGACAAAGACAGAGGAGGCGCCTATAATTTGTGGGTGACTGACAAGGCCGCATGTTGTTAACTCAAATGTTTTGATTTACATCAGAGGGGACCTCCAAGCCCCAGACATGACAGGCTGCGATGGCGCCTTCAAAGCCAGTGAATATTAAACCCCAGAAAGCAAGCCCTTTATGCGCTACTCAATAAATTATCACTTGTGGGAGATTTGGCAACAAGCAGTAAGAGACAGAAGCAGGCAAACTCCATAGCAATCCCACGTGCAGAGGACTAGCCCGAGGAGGCTCGGGGATGCTAAGGAGACTCAGGGATGTACAAGCAGGTGTACGATGCAAAGATGTTCGTCTCGGTGCTGTTTAGAATAAGAAGTCAAAAACAAAACAGGGCAAAATTCAAACCAACCAAAACACATTCATTAAGTGGGCTGAGTAAATGTGTTACCGTCACCCAGTGAAACATTTGCCGTCACTGAAATGGCACAATCCAAAGACAACAAGGCCCTAACCGTAGGTGATTTTTAAAGTCATTTCTGCCCCTTACAGTGTATATGCATTCTCTTAGCAGTCAGAGGGAAAAGGCCCTGCTTTGTTTTCCAGACTAGCAAGGCCGTTGCTGTGAGAAACTTGGTACGAGGTACCAGTTCTGATCTGCTCACATCAGCGTCCTGCCACAGACAGCCGATCCCGACGGTGAAGGGCAATCTTGATTGTGAAAAGCCGCTAGAAGGAACAGTTGACTAAGGGCGCAGGAAAGAGGAAGATCAGCCAACAACACAAAATCTTTTGTTGCTCCTTGCCAGCCACGGATGTGCCTGATCTTGGCTTCTTTGACTGACCAAGCTAGAATCCTCTCTTTGAAAATGAAACTGTTCATTTCCTGAGAGGAAGACTCACAAAGCTAGTCCGGGGGCAAGTGGAAAGTGTGCGACAGCCATGGCTTTTCCAGGTGTGCAGCCGCACAGAAATCCCCCCTCCCCCAACCCCACTCGAGGAGGGAGAGAGGAGTTCTGTCAATCTAGTTAAGACAGAGACGACAAGGCGATTCCTGACTTAGCTTCTACTCTTTCTGGCAATGAAACTTTCCGGAAGCCACTTAACCCTCTGCGTCTCTTTGATAAGATGGCGTGACCAAGAACAACGGCACCAGTCTGAGCCCCTGTGGCACTGATGGTAACAACACACAGTAAGTGCTTTGCGACTGTTCCAGAAAGAGTCAGTCTAAGGCTCCAGCTCTTAGGAGCCATCTTCTCTTCTATAAACTACCCATCTCATTTTTATATTTAAGAGTGTTGGGGTCACACTCTTAACCCTAACTCTAACACTAAACCTAACAGCACAACCCTAATCTTAACCCTCAACCCTAAGAACATAACCCTAGACTAACCCTAACCTTAACCATAATTCTAACCCTGACCCTAACCCTAGCAACACTAACACTAACAACACTAACCCTAACACTAACCCTAACCCAATCAGACAATGAGAATCCTTCTTGCTGCTTGTTTATTGTTGACTGACCTCCTTACCGATGTTTGATGGCTGCTGCTACAGTGCCTTGGGGAAGCATTTCTCTGTGTTGAGAAGACTCACTTCCAGGCTAGAGGTGAAGGTTGAACTTGTTTCCCCTCCTTGATTAGTTATTTTTATTTAATGTCAAATCTACCTGAAGATCCTGGACCTATAGAGGCAGGCAGGGGAGGTGAGGAGAGAGTCCCTCGGGGTTTCGTATTGGTACCATGAGCAGAGCGGGTTGGGAGAACCTTTCCACATTCCTTGGTGGGGTGGGGGGGGGCGCTTAGGAAGTGACTGTTCTGTCTTCAAGAGCAGGGATTTTCCAGCCATTGACCTGAAAGGATCGTGGATGCCACAGCACTGACTAAACCAGTACCGTCATAAACCGGTAAGGTGACGGATAGAGCAGGCTTTGACTTTCCTAACAGGCCCGACTGTGGAAATACGCTTCAGCTCACAGTTCATCTGCTCATTTGATACCGTTTTCTCCAATTCGACACTTACAAACGAGTACGTATAAAACATCTGCCAGTTATGTGACTTGCTAATAGAATGAAAACGTAAAGCCACCTCTCAAACAGAATATTAGGAATACCGCTGAAGCTCCCTCCGTGGCCTCCCTGTAATATGTACCCTGTCACCTAAGCCACTTGCCCAAATCAGGGGTTTTCTTCTTTTTTTTTTTATTTTGTGCGTGTGTGCTCATGGATTCAAGGAGAGCGTTAAAATAAGTTGTGACCGATTCTTGCAATAGATTTCAGCTGGGGTGGGAGGGGGACAAACCCATCGCTTGCAGCCACGAGTTTCATCCCACACATTGTGAAAGAATAAACTACGGTCCCAAAAAGTAATGAGTCATATTCAAACAATTTGCACTTCTTTAAAAGTCAGGTATTTTTTATACCGGTGGTAAACAGGATGACACCTCATTCATATTAATTCACACGTATGTAATAGACTAATGCATAGCATGTAAACTACGTAACAGATACATGATATTTAAATATTTCTCTTTAAATTCTATTAAAAACCTTTATCATAAAAAATTGCAAAAAATATCTTTCTTTACTTGTTTTGACAAACATGTTTTTCTCACACAGCGGCAATGGGCATAAAGCCTGTTGATGTCTCCTGCACACGTTCGAAGACACAGGCTCAACAACACCAGGGAGAGAAGCACACAACAGGAGGCCGTGGGCTCCAGGGTGTGCTCACCACACCAGAAACTTTCGGGGAGTTGAGCATTAGCTGCCACACTCTCTGTTTCCCATGTGCACACAGCACATGGTAAAGGTCCCAGGAATGAAGGAGATGTCTCACCACCCACTGTGGGGAGAAATCAGATGAAGAGGCTAGTCTAGGATTTGGCTTCCTCTAAAACATAAACAATGTGTGATGGTCTGACAGGAGAAGGTTGTTCTCTGTGTTTTCATACAGCTCTAAGATAGAGAATTAATTATGCATATATTTATTTTGGTCAAATTTCAAACCACACACTGAGGTTCTAAGTATGTCCTCTTTCTTTCTTTCTTCCTTCTTTCCTTCCTTCCTTCCTTTCTTTCTCACTTCCTTCTTATTCGACACAAAAAGAGAAGGGTAACACAGTGCTCCCTCCCCTTCCCACCCACACCACTTCACTAAGGAAGAGAAAAAAATACAAAACCCCAAACAAATGACCTCTGCTTTACGGCAATTTGTAGCTCAGAGTCAGTTTTTAGAGTTGAGCAATAAATCCAAGAAAAACAGTGACTATAATGAAAAGGATGACTGACATTTAACACAAATGGGACAGACAGAGGGTTCACAGGGAAAATAGGGAGTCTCAGTCCCCACGCTGAGCATTTGCCCATTGCTCACCAGTGTGCTCTATTTTAGGGACAATTTGCCTGTTTGTAAATAGAAGTATTCAGAAACACTGCAAACATCAGGGAGAGGTGTGTTCCCTGCATTTCTGATGTCTGTGTGTGTTGATGACCACACGAGAGTCCCTGTAGTGGCTCTGGCTGCTGTTTTGGCAAAAAATGAACAAAATAACACATTAAACAAGACAGCTTGAGAACAGGAGAGCAAAATGCAAACCTAGACTCAAAGACAAAGGTGAATCTCGAATGGGAACTATGATGGTTTCAGTTCTAAAGGTCTCTTGGCTCTCCCAATGCCGAAAGCCCTGGCTTTTCTAAACTTAATGCATCACCCAACAAAACCTAAAAGTATATATTACAAAATGCACTTAATCAATGCTTAACATACAAAAGGAAGAAATGCCACGACACTCAGAAGTCTCTATAAAAAGGTTAATAATTTTTAAAATTTAATAATTTGATAATATTTTGTATTAGTAATGTTTTCTTCTTGATGTTACCAAAGTGTCTGATAGGAACAGCTTAAGGGAAGAGGATTATTTGGGCCCATGGTCTCAACCCATCAAGTCTGGAAGGTGTGGGGGCATTCATGGTGGCTGGAGAATACGGCTTAGACTCCTCATATCTTGGGGGATGATGAAGGAGGAAGGCTGGCCAGGAAGCAGTGTGGAGCAACCTGCAAAGGCCTGCCCTTATTACCTATGCCTCCACCAGCCTTAGATCAACACCCAAAGTTTCGACGAAATAGCGCCACCAACTGGAGCCCAAGTGTTTAAGCGCATTAGCCTGAGCGGCTATTTCATCCACACCGTATTTGCAGCGGCAGACCTATGTCTCACTGTATTTGGACCTATGATTCCAGGGGTTGAGTCTATAGTGGTGGGAAACTGGTGGTAGGAGCAGAAAGCTGAGAGATCGTGTTTCAATCGCACACAGGAAGCAAAGAGACAATAGGAAGTGGGGCGGGGCTATGAACCCCCAAAGCCCACCCCCAGTGACATATTTCCTCCAGCAAGGCTCCATCTGCTAATGCCTCCATGACTTCCCCAAAGAGCACCACCAACTGGTGACCAAGTGTTGTCAAACGCAGGAGCCTCGGGGGGACATTTTTCATTCAAGCCACCTGAACTGTTTATGCCTTTCTACCTCAGCGTACTTGTGGCTTTAGCTTCCGTCATGGTCTGTGGACCCTGTGGGTCATACCTCTCATCAGAGGACAGGGCTGACCTGTAATGCCCTGTGCACCCAGCTGGAGTGTCTCCGAGTCGGCATCCACGAGACTTTATACTCTAATACAAAGCACAACAATACAATTCCTTCATTAGCAAGATTCCTAACAACAGCAACGTTTCCTGCCTGAGATGTAAGAGGATGCAAAGTACAGAGTGTGGGTGGTTTGAGCGAGAATACCCCATTTGTGTAATTATTCCACACACAGGATGAAGACACAGTCGTGTGAAGAAAGTCTTTATCATCTCAGTTGACCCGTGAGGCACATGCAACAACTTTTGCTTTACTCTCCCGTGTGCGCGCGCGCGCATGTGTGTGTGTGTGTGTGTGTGTATGTGTGTGTGTGTGTATGTGTATGTGTGTGTGTGTTCTGCAGAGGGCTGCCTTGCTAACTTGGGTGCCTACCTGTGAAATGAGCCAGCTTGGTATATTTGGGGGCACTTTTATGGGCAATGTTGTGTTGGCAGGTGTGTTTGAATTTTAATTATTCTAAAGAAGGCTCCCGCCTAGGAGAAATGGGAAGGATATGTTTTTCAAAGATGCTTCCAACCAGTAAAGTCTCAATTTTGAAGCCTACACGGGCGTTCTGCATGTACCAGCACTTTCTCCGGGTATAATTTAAGGATACTTTGAAACTTTGGCCCAATTTGATCAAATGTTGATAGACGGTCCAGTAAAGCGAGGTGTGGGAAGCAGCTACTTCACGGCGCATTGATGCTGTAAATTTGAAGAGACGCTGTCAGCCTGCTGAGCTCTGAGATTTATTTCCCTAAAAGACAGATAAATTCCAGGGGTAACACTGGCATGGTGTTAAATATACATACTTGTGTACCTTACGTAAGGTCCTCCACCATCAATTTCTCTCAGAATGTAGTTCTAGGAAATTGTTTGGGTTTTTTTCTTTGTTGCTGTTGTTCTGAAGGTATCTGCTCTTCCTTCTAGAGGATTGGGGCTCCTAGCCTCACACTGTTTCTCTTTTTTCCTTTGCCACCAGGAATCTCTGAGTTTTATTTTGTCCCTGAAGTGGCTGCTTCTCATAGCTGACACTCTCTAGACAATGAAGTGGTCCCTTTATGGACACCTCGATCTTCTTTTCTCTACTCTTTTCCTTTCATGTGTTTATCTTATTTCTGTCTTTTATTGAATATCATCTCAACGTCTTTGAGATGGGAAAAGTAAAAGGGATCTACAACTGTATTGAGGTCCTAAGAGTCTCTCTAGGGCTTTGCGGGGAAACTTTGAAACTGCTGCTTACATAAAAGGGATCAAGAGAGTCCCAGATGTGGGAGAAACACCTAGCTACATCCCTGTTACCAAGCATTCAAACACAAGGTCCTCTCTCGCCACCCTGCCCCATCGTAGCTGTAAGGATACACAGAATCAGCTTAACCTTCCACATGAAAAGTAGGACAGCACTCCTCCCCGCCAGTGTGTTACCAGGGCAACTGACAACTTCCTGCTGATGTTGTTAAAGCCAGCCCCACTTCACACCTTATCTGGAAAAACAGAATATGAGATGGATGCTCATCACAGAGGGATTACCAAGAGGCAGGCCATTTTTCCCCATCACGAGTGGGAGGAATTAGGCTCAAACTCGGCAGACCCGGTACCGAGTTGAATAGAAGGGAGAAAGATGACCAACACCAAACAGATCCTGTGTGATAATTTCCAGCTTCCTCAAAACAGGGTTTCCAAATTAGTGCCCGAAAAAGTGCCTACAGCCGGGTTAAAACCCAGATGCCTGGCTCCCCTCCTGCGTCTTAGAAGAGTGGGGTCGGAGAATTTGGTTTTCTGACCAGGTCCCAAGGGCACATACATGCTGATTGGACATCATCATGCTTTTTCCAGAAAGAGCCAGCCTGCCTCAACTGTTCCAAAAGCCCTTCTCCTTCCAGCATGCAGGGAGACAACAGGAAGTAAGAGGAATATTGATCAGTCAAGGTTGATTTCAGTGTCCATATGAGTCTTGGCAAGAGCCATGTAGCGAGAACCCAGGCAAAGCCCTGGACTGACCCCTTCACAGCTAGGGAAAGAGAGGCCTAGTGGGTTTCGCTTCCTGCCAGTGATTTTGAGACTAGCTGGTCAGGGAGTGCCAGGGGAATGCTTGAGGCTCTGTTTCCTCAGCCTGTAGTCTTAGCTACCAAGCTGGGGATTTCTCTCAAGACGGGAACCACATACGATACCCTGTCTTACTTCTACAGGGTGCTTTATCCAGAAATGCAGCACTACATTAGAAACCTGAGGCTACAGCCCAGCTTCGAGAAGGCTTAGGTGGCTTTCAGAGCGAGTGTGCATCCTACTGAGCGCCGCCAAGTCTTAGCAATTCCTATAGAAATGGTGGGCTGAATGACACTAGGCAGGGAGGCTTGGTTACAACGTGGTCCTAAATTCAAGACTCAGGGACCCCTCCATGGAGCCAACGGTAGCTACAAGAAGCTGAGGGCAGTAACTACAAGAAGTTACTGAGTTACCTAATCAATGAGTCTGGGGTCCCAGGGGACAGCCTGTCTCAAAACCAAACAAACAAACAAAACAAGGAAAGCCAACCTAACTATCTCTTGAGGAAAGGCACTAGGTGTTGACCTCTGCCCTCTACAACCACAGAGGTTGTACACACACACACACACACACACACACACACACACACACGTATACATACACACACACACGTATACACACATACACACACATGCCCAAGTACTCATACCCACACACAAAGAGACACGTGTGTGTGTGTGTACACACATGCACACGGAGAACTGACTCTTCTCATAGAGGTCAAGGAAATCAGTGTATTCAGCTTTGAAGAACAACCTTAACCTACATTTGGGTAGGAAATATCTAAAGTCTCTCTTTAAAGGGGGAGGGAACAAGGCCCATAACATGGCTCGTCTGGTAAAGACATTTACTGCCGAGACTGGCGACCTCTGACTCTGATCCCAGCATGCATATGGTAAAAGAACACTGACTTCCCTAAAGTTGTCCTCTGACCCCATGAGCGACGTGTCACAAAACCGTAAATACATGTAAATTAAAAAAAAATTGAAAGGGAGCAAGCCAACCAACGTTCCCCCATTATCAGTCGAGCCTGAGCTGAGCCAGTCAGTCTTGCGAGCAGCAGGCCTTCCTTATAGCTGTGTCCTCTCACCCGGGGTCAGCTGGTCAGGGAGAAAGAATAGGACAGAGATTGCCCACAGTTCAACAGGTACAAACCTGGTCCTTCCTCCATTTTCCCCTTGATGCTTCCATTCATAGAAAAAAAGAAAATGCTGAGGAAAAAAAAAGCACTTTAAACAGAAAAATCAAACAT